AAACACCTCCACCAAATATGGGGCCAGAGTCACCTTAAAGTGCTTATAAAACTCGGCTGTCAGTCCGTCTGGCCCAGGCGACTTCTTCATGGCAAGCTGATCAATAGCTTTCACCACCTCATCTGCCGTGATGTCCTCTGTCAAACTCACAAGAGAACTGCCATTACCCAGTCCTGGAGAAGAGTCCAGAAACCCAACATGCTCACCCGATCGAGGTCCTTCCTACCCAGGAGGTCAACATAATATGACCTGGAGGTTTCCAGGATCCCTGACTTGGACTTTGTCAGGAAACCGTACTTTCAACCAGGCCTACAACTGACTTAACTGCTTCTACCTTGTTTGAAATTCTGGTAAGGGTCGGGCGAGTGATATTTCCCATAATCCCTTTCCAGAAGCAAAGAGGCATGCCTGTTATATTGACACTGCCTGAGCAAGAGTTAAACCTCAGAGATCGCCCTCGGATCTCCATTATTCGAGACGCTGGTAGGTGACATACTTATCCAGCTGTTTATTTCTTCCTATGGCCTTGAAAAAACCCAACGATCCTTCGTTTTGTAAGCTCCCACCACTCGGACTTACAGCTGCAAACATCCATGATTGATACCTGTGCCTGAAAAAAAAATCCTCAAAAGGATTGACTCACCTTCTCATCATCCAGGAGTGCCGAATTCAGCTTCCAGGTACCCCTCCCCCTAGGTGGTGTATCTGGGCCACTCAGAGTCACAGACAGAATTACAGTGATCAGAAAACTCCACCGCCTGACACACTGGTGCCGAGAAGGCGGAGTTCCCCTTTAAAAAAAAAAACCCTATCTATCCTACTTGACTAGAACCTCGCTGAAAGATGAATCCCGTGTCGTCTGGGCAGCAATGAATGTGCACATCAACCAGACCTGCCTCTCTAGCCGTCACAGTCCAGCCTGACTCCGGTCCCTCTCCTGTCCTTAGTCCTAGTGACGTTGTTTAAAGTCACCACCGAAGACAACTTGCTGGGCTGTTAAAAGGAAAGGCTTGATCTTCATGAAGAGGCATTTCCTGTCCCATTTTGTCTGGGGCCCATAGATGTTAATCAGGCGCAGGTCCTGCCCCCCCCATGGAGATGTCTAAGACCATGCATCTCCCCATTTCTACCTCAATAATCCACGACGGGTTACCATGCTGGAAAAAAGTACCGCAACTCCAGTGTAAGGCTCGGCCGCAAGAGACCAGAAGGAGGGGCCGCGCCTTCCACTCCATTCGCCATATGAACATCCCCCCAAACTGGACAACCTGGTCTCTTGCAAAAAGAAAATGTCAGCATCAAACCTGCTGAGCAAAAATAAGGCCATGTTACGAGCGCTTACTGATTTTATGCTGGAGACATTAATGGTCGCCACCTTCAAAGGAGTGGGAACCGCCATCAGGATGATCGAGGTACCCGATTCTTAGCCTGCTTACCCCCCTCCCTGCTTGGAGACCCTACACGCTTCAATGTCCTCTGTGATTCCTCCTCCATGGAAACCACAGACTCATCACCCAAAGATCCCTCATCCTCCACCTCAGATAACACATCAAATGTGTTAGACACCTCCACTCTCCCAGGGTCAGGTACAGGCACATCCTTCTTCCGCTTCTTCTTCCCATACTTCCTTTTTCCTTCCAACCACTCCATATCATCATTTGATAACCCACACTGCAAAGCCCCTCCCTTCTACCATCACCAACATCATCCACCCCACTCTCTCCACTCACCGCAGCAGTCCCCCCCGACCTTCACCCCAACACCCCCATCATTCACTCTACCCCCCAGCGCCTCACGCCCTCTGATCCTCAGACACTGGGGAGCGGGGGTCGGTGTAACCATACATTTTTGGTCCAGCTCCCTCCACAGCCCCCACTACCTTGGGAAACTGACACAGGAGGATCAGACACAACATCCACAGACACTGGCTCAGGGGGCATAACACCAGGAGATGACACATTGGATGGATCATCAGACACTGGGGACCACAGGGACAGAGACATTGGGGACCCCTGGCACAGCCTCCCTCTCTTCTGCCTCCTCCATGTCCAGACGAAAAAATTCTTCCACCAAAGCTGACTGGTTGTGCATGGCCTCAGGACACCGGTTGTATGAATGGCCACCTTATCACACAGATTGCACCTGATGATATTACAATCCTTAGCCAGATGCCCCCAGATCCTGACATAGAGAGCACTTCATCTCTGGACATGAGGAGGCCAAGTGACCCCGAGAACCGCACTTATTACAGCTTGGGCTGTCCAGGGTTAGAACACCACAATCCTGTCCTTCCCAATGAAGGCTGAGGAGGGCAGATGCTGGACCACATTCCCACACACATACAACCTCATCTGCACCGACCACCCACCAGTCCATATCCCTCTCTCATCCCACAATCTTCTTCAGGGGGGGGTCAATAGCTCCCCAAATCTCCTCAGCCAGACAGCCAAGTCAGCAAAGGGATCGACTCATTCCTTACTAGGATGGTGACCGTCTTCACTAGAGATTGGTGTGAGTCCCTTCCACTCCAGCAGACCCTTATACATGTGTTCATATTTCTCCCAGAATATATCCAGAGACTCGGGGCGCACAAAGGACAGATCATATTCATAGGATCCCACTGGACTGATCAATGCGAAGATGTCATCCGCCTTAAAGCCCATCTCCAAAATCCTGTCCACCACCAACTTCCTGACCGGGGGAGCACCCCCACCTTCCCACCTGAGCTGTACCACATTCTGCCTCCTGAAGGATAGGGGTGCAGATGGCAGACCTGCAGCAGACCTTCCCACAGAGCTGACAGCATGATGTGACCCCCTCCTCCCAGCCAGAGCCCCAGCATAGGTCTTATTTGCAGCATTAGTTGTACCGGACCTTATAGCTGCACCCTGCCCATTGATTGCAGGAACCTCCGAACCCCCGCTCTGCAAACTACCATCAGAGGCAACAGCAGCAATCACTCCATCCACCAACACACATGCATTCCCCTTTCCAGCATTGCAAGCACTCTTATCATTCACATGTTTCCTTTCACTCATGGCACTACTGCTCCCAGCAGACCCACTCACACCAGATGCTCCTGTCTCCCCCTCCCCCAACATACTCCTCTTAGGCAAAAGCCTTCCACTCCTGGTCTCTCCCCCCTGGGTTTCAGCAACACCTTCACAATGCAGCTGCCATTTTCCCTCCCACCATTTTCTGCTGCATTTGCAGCCATCAGCAGGGATTGTCCAGCCACAATGTCAGATCCCACCTTTACCTTCCCCCCAGCAGAGGTCCACAGTCACAGGTTCCTGGTATCAGAGTCCACAGTCCAGCAGAGTGCAGTCCTGCAGGCACAGCAGCCATCTTCCCTGCAGAGCTCTGTGCACACACAGGAGGATTTCCCTCCAAAACACTGCAGTTGCACATGGCTGTCCACACTGGAGTCCAAACTGTCACTTTTAATAAAGCGTGGCTTTGCTGTCTTTTTTTCCTTTACAGAACCAGGTACAGAGTCCTCACCATCATCTTCATCTGCAGAATCCTCAGAAAACCGGAAAGTTCTTCCAATTAGGGAAGACTCCATTTCATTAATAAGCTTTAGCAGCCCTCCGCCATTTTCCTCTACCTCCTGTGGGGGGGCCAGGCGAGCAGGCCTGGCCCCCTGGGGTCTGGAGGGGAGAGAGCGCAACTGCACCACAACCTCTCTGGTGTAGAGTGTAAGCTCCTGTGGTGCAGAGACTGATGTGACTGCGGGGGAGGGGACATTAGAGCATAAGCTCCTCTGCTACAGAGACTGATGGGACTGCGGGGGAGGGGACATTAGAGCATAAGCTCCTCTGCTACAGAGACTGATGGGACTGCGGGGGAGTGGGGGGACATTAGAGCATAAGCTCCTCTGCTACAGAGACTGATGGGACTGTGGGGGAGGGACATTAGAGCGTAAGCTCCTCTGCTACAGAGACTGATGTGACTGTGGGGGAGGGGGCATTAGAGTGTAAGCTCCTGTGGTGCAGAGACTGATGGGACGCGGGGGAGGGGACATTAGAGTGTAAGCTCCTGTGGTGCAGAGACTGATGGGACTGCGGGGGAGGGGACATTAGAGTGTAAGCTCCTGTGGTGCAGCAGAGACTGATGGGACTGTGGGGGAGGGGACATTAGAGTGTAAGCTCCTGTGGTGCAGAGACTGATGGGACTGCGGGGGAGGGGACATTAGAGCGTAAGCTCCTCTGCTACAGAGACTGATGGGACTGCGGGGGAGGGGACATTAGAGCATAAGCTCCTCTGCTACAGAGACTGATGGGACTGTGGGGGAGGGGACATTAGAGTGTTAAGCTCCTCTGCTACAGAGACTGATGTGACTGTGGGGGAGGGGGCATTAGAGTGTAAGCTCCTCTCGTACAGAGACTGATGTGACTGTGGGGGATGGGGACATTAGAGTGTAAGCTCCCTCTGGTTCAGAGACTGATGTGACTGCGGGGGAGGGGACATTAGAGTGTAAGCTGCTCTCGTACAGAGGACTGATGTGACTGTGGGGGGGGGGGACATTAGAGTGTAACCTCCTCTGGTACAGAGACTGATGGGACTGCTGCGGGGGAGAGGACATTAGAGTGTAAGCTCCTCTGGTACAGAGACTGGTGTGACTCTAGGGGAGGGGACATTCGAGTGTAAGCTCCTCTGGTACAGAGACTGGTGTGACTCTAGGGGGAGGGGACATTCGAGTGTAAGCTCCTCTGGTACAGAGACTGATGTGACTGCGGGGGAGGGGACATTAGAGTGTAAGCTCCTCTGGTACAAAGACTGATGTGACTGGCTCAGTGATCTCTGTACAGCGCTGTGATATATGTCAGAGCTATATAAATAATAAAGAGTATCATCTATAGTCATTTATTAGCTCTTCGTTGTCTATCAGGGAGAATAGGGAATCAGGTGACATTGGATTAGGTGTCATGTGATGATGAAGTCAGTGGTGTGACATAAAGGAGGACAATAGAACATGAACAAACCTTTTCCTGCACCATCTTCAATCTCTTCTTCCTCAGCTCTGACACACACTTATAGACATTCACTTTCTTCAAACCGCATGCGCCATCTTCAGGAGAATATCCAGTGCTATAAATGTGCCCGTTTCTGCCAATCCCAGCACTGCAAACATGGAAGACCACTGGGGTGTGAATTGGATTTATAGGAAGAAAGAAATTACTTGACCCCCCCACAGGCTGAACCAGGGGTGGCATAAGCCAGCCTGCTGTTGTTTTTTTTTTTTTATTGAGAAAGCATGCCCCCTACATGAAGCCAGGCATACAAGACTCAATGGGAGTCTATTAATAAACAATTAGCTGTGTGAATGGCTCAGCACAGCCACCATGATTAATCCCCATAATAAATGTATTTCCTAGGATCGTTAGCTCCCTCCAAAGGCCATATAATGGTACGTTCCGGAAATACTGCAATCAGGAAAGTAGCGCATTATGGACACTAGATGGAGCTGATGATAATAGGAAATTAACACTACCGGGGGCAATGTACTTTCATGAATGCAAACTGTACCTAGTACCATACCTGCAATGTACGATGGTGGGTCCGGACCCGGGGGTCCTACACTTGTCCATCAGTGCTATCAGTTGCACCAGGTCAGACGTGTTCCTGGGCACCCCATGATCCGGCCAGCGCAAGTACTGGAGCTGTTCCACCGTAATCTGCACCATAGACTGCGCCTGAACCGGAGAGATGTACATATGACAACATTGCCACCGTATTACAGGAGGAGAAAAATAAGGGATCTACTGGCGGGATCAACAGATAAAAGAAGGTTACGGGGGGGGGACTCAAAACAAAGACTGCTGTAATGCAGCCCACTGACCTCATCATATATAAGGTTTGTATTTGCTCGTTTTAACTACTCGAGGACACTGGATGTGCTACACATGTCCACAATAACATACATTGCTGATTCCCCACCGCCATGTACCAGCAACTAATTGTTCTCTGTAAATACAGCCGTTCTGGTGCTGTCAAAACATAGACTGATATGTGTTTATCAACATTGATCAGAGAGAAAGTAACATTGTTTAAAAAGATCGATCAGATGGGAGATAGAGATACAAAGTAACATTGTTTATAAACATCGATCAGACGGGAGATAGAGAGATACAAAGTAACATTGTTTATAAACATCGATCAGACGAGAGATGGAGAGATACAAAGTAACATTGTTTATAAACATCAATCAGACGGGAGATAGAGAGATACAAAGTAACATTGTTTATAAACATCGATCAGACGGGAGATAGAGATACAAAGTAACATTGTTTATAAACATCGATCAGACGGGAGATGGAGAGATACAAAGTAACATTGTTTATAAACATCAATCAGACGGGAGATAGAGATACAAAGTAACATTGTTTATAAACATCGATCAGACGGAAGATAGAGAGATACAAAGTAACATTGTTTATAAACATCGATCAGACGGAAGATAGAGAGATACAAAGTAACATTGTTTATAAACATCGATCAGACGGGAGATAGAGAGATACAAAGTAACATTGTTTATAAACATCGATCAGACGGGAGATGGAGAGATACAAAGTAACATTGTTTATAAACATCGATCAGGTGGGAGATAGAGATACAAAGTAACATTGTTTATAAACATCGATCAGACGGGAGATAGAGAGATACAAAAGTAACATTGTTTATAAACATCGATCAGACGGGAGATAGAGAGATACAAAGTAACATTGTTTATAAACATCGATCAGACGGGAGATAGATACAAAGTAACATTGTTTATAAACATCGATCAGATGGGAGATTGAGAGATACAAAGTAACATTGTTTATAAACATCGATCAGATGGGGGATAGAGCGATATATTTTAACAATGTTACTTTGTATCTCTCAATCTCCCACCTGATCGATGTTTATAAACAATGTTACTTTGTATCTATCTCCCGTCTGATCGATGTTTATAAACAATGTTACTTTGTATATCTCTCCATCTCCCATCTGATCAATGTTTATAAACAATGTTACTTTGTATCTCTCTATCTCCGTCTGATCGATGTTTATAAACAATGTTACTTTGTATCTCTCTATCTCCGTCTGATCGATGTTTATAAACAATGTTACTTTGTATCTCTCTATGTCCCATCTTATTGATGTTTATAAACAATGTTACTTTGTATCTCTCTATCTCACGTCTGATTGATGTTTATAAACAATGTTACTTTGTATCTCTCTATCTCCGTCTGATCGATGTATTGATTATAAACATTATGTTTCCTAACCAGCCCTGATTAATCATTAATAATTAAACTTTTTTTGTTTTTCTTTTGTTTGTTAATATTTTAGTGTTACATTAAAAAAAAGCACAAAAATGCAAATAAATAAATAAATAAATTGTAAATAATGTTGCCATGCTTTGTTGCATAATTTTAGTTCCATTTCAACGAGACAAATTAGAAAAAAAAAGAATATAAATATAAAAAATAGAATTTTTGGTTCTATTACATTTTTTTCTATTTTTAGGATTTCATAAAAAATAATAAAATCTTTACTTTCTTCAGGCTGAAGGTGCGGGTGATGATGGCGGCAGTCTGGGTGATTTTCTGGACGGACACTGTGATGTCACCGTAGGTCTGGCTCTGCTCTGGCCAGTAGCACTCACATTTCACCTGAGGGGATTCAACATTTAAAACTGAAATGAGTTGGGACGTTTATAAACAAATCTGAACTGCAGACATAAAGCACACAGACCAATGCAGTGCTGTAATCATGAACACGTCATTCCGTGTGTTTTATAAATACAAGCAGTGTCAGTACTGGAATGTCACCTGGTATCAGCTTTTTGCACTCATTGGACAACAGAGATCAGACTTTGAGTTTTAGAAGCAGCACCAGAGGCTAATCAACTCATGTATTGACAATGAGCATGCTGATAGGAGGTGAGAACAGAGTAAAAGAGAGCGGAGCTCGTCCAAGTGCTGCTTCACATTTCATTATCCAGTCAGGGGCTGGGGGGCGGATCCATGATGGCTTGGGCTCAGAGGAAATGGGTTGTCTGATTCTATCCATGATTAAAATCTCATCAGACTGAGGACATCTAGTGGCAGAAAAGTACTTCAGGGGACATATGCAGGTTACTGGTACTGCTTTAAGTACTGTGTACTGCACCACTTTTACAAAATAGGACTCTGAGCAGAAACGGAGAGTCTACAAGCAGGAAGAGTTACACCATCTGGACATCACATCCACCTTTACTGTCCAGAATCTTTCCAGTCTATAATTTCTCCCTCATCATCCACCCTTCCATACCCACAGTTCACCATTCCATACTCACAGATCCATACCCACAGTCCACCCTTCCGTACTCATCACAGTCCACCCTTCCGTACTCATCACAGTCCACCCTTCCGTACCCACAGACCACCATTCCATACTCACAGTCCACCATTCCGTACTCACCATCCACCCTTCCGTACCCACCGTCTACCCTTCCGTACTCACAGTCCACCCTTCCGTACTCATCACAGTTCACCCATCTGTACTCATCACAGTCCACCCATCCGTACTCATCACAGTCCACCCTTCCATACTCATCACAGTCCACCCTTCCATACCCACAGTCTACCCTTCCGTACTCACAGTCCACCCTTCCGTACTCATCACAGTTCACCCATCTGTACTCATCACAGTCCACCCATCTGTACTCATCACAGTCCACCCATCCGTACTCATCACAGTCCACCCTTCCATACTCATCACAGTCCACCCTTCCATACCCACAGTCTACCCTTCCATACCCACAGTCTACCCTTTCATACCCACAGTCCACCATTCCTTACTCACTGTACACCATCCTATACTTATGGATCACCATCTCATTATCATGGCACATTATCTCTTTATGGCCCATCACCTCAGCTTCAGGGTCCATATCCACATCCACTTTACACTCCACCACCTCATTCTCAGGGTCCACTGTGAGAAACTGTCTGACACCCTGACTGGGTATCTCCACTAAACTACAACTTCCTCCCCACTGGAACCAGAATACAGCAAATTTACTCCAGGCATCAGACAGAACCAATGTTGGAGTAAAACCGGACTGACTTTATTAAGAAACAGCACAGAATTTATACACAAAAACCTTCCCCGTAGACAGGTATGGCACACACTACAAGTCCCAGGAGAAAATTACATTACATAAAAAAACAAACAATCAAACACAAGAAAACAATGGATTCCTTCCTGGCACCTGGAAGTCTGGACTCTGGAAGTAATTAAACAAAAGTTTATCACCTAAATCTAATTACAGAAAACAACAGCTGATGCCAGGAAACCTGTCATAGAAAATAAGGTTTCTTAACCCCATTAATACTGGAATCTCCCCCCCCCCACATAACACATCGCTCCAAAATAAAAGTTACACTATGCACAGTATGCCAAGGGGTCCTAGAAACAGTCCCTCCAGCCCTAATTGCATGGAATATGTAGCAGGTATGATTCATGGCCAGCCAGATACTCAGGAAGGGGTATAAACCTCTTGGGGAAAAGGTTCCTGGTAACTTCAAGAAGTGGGTCTTCTTAGTCTTGGGTCCTTAGCCAGTGGAAAGGAGGCTGGCCCCTCCAGGAGCCCAAGTCACGGTGGTTTCTGTGACATTTCTTAGCCCCTACCCAAGGTAGACGAACCAGGTCTCAGACCCCCAACTGGTCTGGACCTTTGTTAGTCGGGCAGTATGAATCCACATATTCTGTCCACATGATCTACTACCTTGACTGCTGGGGAGAAGCAAAGATGACGGCTTCTCCCTGATGTTCCCGTGTTGATGTAAGTGTGGAGCAGAAATCGTGGATGCTCTGTCCGGTTGCCAGCACTTCAGCTGGGAGCTCTTTACTGTTCTGGGGCCTGATCTGGTACTGGGGAGAGGGGACAACTTCCCTAGCTCCCTAGAGCCATGTAGGCACTGTAGGTGCTAGGCAGAGGCCAGTGGCACTCTGTCCTGTTGCCAGCACTTCAGCTGGGAGTTGGAGTTTCACTACATCAGCCTGTCATGGGGGGGGGGGGGAGGAGCCACCTGCCCTGAGTTGTTGCTGGTGCTGGGCAAAGGTTGGTGGGCCTCTGCCCTATTGTCAGTGCTGCTGCTGGGGGATCCCACATCCTCCACTCTGGCTGGCTGATGGGGTGGGGGAGGACAACTTCCTCTTCTCTTGAGACTCTTAACTGCCGCTGGGAGAGAGAAAACTACCTGCTTTCCCTTGTCCTTGGCCTGCCACTGGGAAGGGGGAATGGCTTCCTCCCCCCTGCATCTCAGCCTGCTTCTGGGGAGTGAGGACAGCTTCCTCCCTTCCCTGCTGCTCTGGAATTGCTGAAGATCCAGGGCACAAGCTAGCAACACTCGGGCCCAGGGTCAGTGCTTCAGTAGGTGACTCATAATCCATAAAATACATGGGTGCTGGGGCATAATGTTGAGCTTCATCAAACAGTCATTTGTGTGCTTGTTCCAGCTCCCATTCTTGTGTGACTATAAAGTCCAAGTCACTGCCCAATCCAAGCTCACTAGGAAGGTTCAATTCCTAAAATCTCAGCTGTCTTCCCATCTTCACTCCTCTGCACTACCAAGTTGTGGATCCTCCTGAAACATCAAAAAAAACCATTCCAAGGCCGCCAAAGGCATAGCCTTCTATGGGATTGTTCTCCAGCGATGGACACACTTGGGTAGCATACCATTGCAGCACCCAATACCCATCATCCAGCATCAGTTCTGTCTGGACCAGCCTATCCAGCTCCATCAGCCATTCCTCCCAAGGATGCTCTTCTAGGAACAGTATACACAAGTTCAGCTGCAACCAGTGCTGATCCATGGGCATAGGGAAGATCTTTCCATAACGGTCTTGCCCCACTTAAAGAACCTCCCTTCAGAGCTCCTGGAGGATTGCGTCTCTCAATTCCAGTATGTCCCGGGCAGAACCAGGCTCTTACTGGGTGAACATCTCTTGCATTCACCACTGGAACTCTTCTTCCATGGTGACTGATTCCTGGAACACTTCTCCAAAAGAAGGGAGAAGAAACAGATCCCACTGCTGCCACCAAATGGGATGAACTGCCTGGCACCCGGACTGGATATCTCCATAAAACTATAGCTTCCTCCACTCTTGAATAAAGCAACTTTACTCCAAGCATCAGGCATAAGCAATGTTGGAATAAAACAGTACTGATTTTATTAACAAACAGCATAGCATTTATACACAAAGATCTTCCCCCTAGACAGGTATGGCAGATATTACAAGTCTCAGGATAAAATTACATTACATAAGCAAACAAACAATCAAGAAAACAATGGATTCTTTCCCAGCACAGAAAGGGTAGCTGGTATAATTCACAAACAGCCAAATACCATGGAAAATGATAAAACCCTCTTGGGGAAAAAGGTTCCTTGTAATTCCAGGAGGGGGATCACCTTAGTCCTGGGTCCATAGTCAGTGGGAAGGAGGCTGGCCCCAAGGCCCCTCCAGGAGCCCAAGTCACGGTGGTTTCCATCCACCATCTCTGTCCCAAGGTCCACCATTTCATCGATGGCCCATCATCTCAATTATCATGGTCCATCATCTCAGCCAGAGGGTCCACCATTCAATACTCATTGTTCACCATATCACACTCCTTATCAACTATTCCATACTTAGGGCCCACTATCTTATTATCATGGCACACTATCTCAGTCTCATGGTCTATCATCTCAATCTCATGATTTACCAACTCACCACATGATCCATCATCTCAGTTTCATGGTCCACTAACCAATGTTCACTATGTCATGTTCATTATCTACTATCCCATACTTGGGGCCCACCATCTTATTATCATGGCACACCATCTCAGTCTCATGGTCTACAATCATGAGCCACTATCTCACATTATTATTTTTTCTATCTTTACTGCCCACTGTCTCATGTTCTCTTTCCACCATTCCACCTTCACTATTCATCACCTTCCTCTCGTGGTCCTCAATCTCACACTGACTACACTTTTTCTTATTTTCACTGAACATTTATCTCACTTTCATTACCACCTCAATTCACTTGTTATACTTTGTCAGCCTTTTACAACCTGACCTGTCTTCTTGGACATCTCACGTTTAGTTTATCACACACCACACATTCACTATCCATTATTTACCCTTCACTATATCTGTCGAATATTCCTATCCTCTCAGCTTCATTGTCCTCTCATCCATAGTCACCACTCCTTCACTATTCATCACCTCACCTTGTTCTGCTCCTGCAATCCCGTCAGCATGACAATGACGGAACTGTTCTCCTGCCACACCATGTTCCAGAAGTCTGCCAGAGTCCTAGGAAGGGGACCTGGAAGAAGAGTAATAAGTCTGAAATAAATGATCATAAAACATTCCACGACATTCCTGCAGAAAAATGTCATTAGACTATATTGCTGTTATAAAAATACATTCCATGTAGAAGACTTTGAGCTGTACAGATCTTACTCAACCCATTACTGGAGGATATATGAGCTACAAATTCCCAGCTCTGCATCCCTTTACATACAGACTTAAAGCAGAGCTCCTCCACACAAAAAGGAAAGTTCTGCTTTAAGGCTTCATCCCCCACTCCCTGGTAAGGATTGGCATCTTTGGGGAGCGGGTACTCAATTTTTACGGGTACCGATCCCACTGTGATTGCCTAGGTGATCAGAAGTTGTCCTCATCCCTCACTTCCCGTAGTCTTCTGGGACACGTGACAGGTACCAGAAGACTACGAGACAATTCACAAGGCCCAGCGCTACTCATGTATGCACCGTGGGCACCCGGCTGTGAAGCCACAAGCTGTCACCACTTAGGATGCCGGCAAGGATGGCCAGTGAAACCGGCTGCGGTGAGGACAATGCTGGATCGAGGGACAGGTGAGTGCCTGTTTTCTTAAAAGCCAGCAGATACAGTTTTTGTAGCTGCTGCCTTATTTTTTTTAGATTTTGACTGGAGCTTCGCTTTAAGTCTGGCCTACAAGACATTACAGTAATTTACTGATGACCTCATGGCAACTGGGCAGTATGAAGCCTTGATGCAGCAGAGTCTGATATGCAGAGCCTTATCCAGGGGCGGACTGACCATTTGGAAACTCGGGCACTGCCCGAGGGCCCGGGGTCAGTAGGGGGCCCCATAAGATGCCCCTGGTACCTTTTACATAGGCTTTTTTTAGTTTGGGCAAGGACACAGGGGCCCCATGATCCCCTATTGCCCCGGGGGCCCCATGAGTTGTCAGTCCGCCCCTGGCCTTATTATCTGGTGCACACAGTATAATATGTATGAGCGGTCACTCACCTTGTGTTGCTATGTATAATTTTGGAGCTTTGTATCCCTGGAAAATAAGATATTTGACACACATATACTGTATTGTACAGTTTTATTTATGAATAGATATATACAGTAACAAATCTGGATAGAGCTCAATACTTACGTCAACGTAGGAGGCATTTATATAATCTGATCTGGAGGGACTGGACCTCAGGACCACCCGAGAGTCATCATCTGTATAACAAAGACAGAAGTCATGATACCCCCAGGTATGGCACATTTGTATACTGAGAGTATGAACACTCTGCTGATCAGAATATTGAGACTTTATTAGGATGTAAATTCCAGGCTCAACTTACCAATCCCAATTTTGTAGAGTTAGGAACTACAGAACATCGGGGTGCCGTGACGAGGCTCTGTGGCTTACGCATGTATTTGCAAATGTGTGCTAACTAAACCCCTGTTTTGAACGCATACTGTCAGACAGGTTAATTCAGATTGTTTGCAGGCTGGCTGGCAAGTTGAGCTGGGAATTTTTCTTTTTTCTTTGACATGCGTTGCCCATCCATGTGTTCCTTGCTGTAAAAGCCAATTATAGACCGTGGCAGTGGCCATTTTAGTACTGTTGAATTGTTGGTCGAGGGGGTGCACTGGACACCTTAGCTGCATTGTGCTACATGCTGGTTGTCCAATGCGCTCCTGTACCTATAAGGAGGGGTGGGCTCCCTCAAGTCCACCTGCCCTTGGTCTATCCATTAAATACATGTGCCTCTACTATGGGGGCTCTCATAATATGTAGAGTTAGGAACTACAGGACATCGGGGTGCCATGACGAAGCTCTGTAGTTTACACATGTATTTGCAAATGTGTGCTAACTAAACCCCTGTTTTGAACGCATACTGTCAAACAGGTTAATTCAGTTTGTTTGCAGGCTGGTTGGAAAGTTGAGTTTGGGAATTTTTCCTTTCTGGGGGCCCAGTTGGGGTTCCCTATGGGTCTGTGAACCTGAGAACTCCTATGGACACTTAGCTGCCACCCATTGACTTTGTGGATTACTGCCAGATCATGGACTGTAAAGGACTACTTGCTACCTCTGTGGATTCACTATCTAAATGGACTCTTGCCTTGATGGGATTGCTTGAATGAACTTACCATCTGCCTAAAGTACAGGCACTTTATGGGGCACTTTGAGAACCCTGTACAGGAATATAGGTGAAGTTTCTTTGGAAGAACCGTTCCTGTATGGCTTTGCACTCCTTCAGTAAAAACTTTTTGTTATTTCTTAAAATGCCTGGTCTGACGTCTGTCAAAGGGATGCAATGCATGGCGTAACAAAAGAACAGGGCTTATAACAAGGGATAAACACTACTGAAGGTTCACGAGTGGAGAATACTGCAAGTAACAGATCTAATTGCCATGAGTAACCAGTGGAGTGTTCGGTGCTTAAGCTGCCAGCCGACATGTGTACCATGTGACTAGGTAAGGATGACGATGTGCTCTGGTCACAAGGAGGTTACTAAGTGCACCCCATCCCTAGTGGCTGGTGCCCCATACCCAGGACCGGACTCACAACACGGAGTCTCCATGTATCTAGCTGTATGTCAAGGGAGAGAAAATGCAAGAGGATCCTCAATAGAAAGTCACTGAGAGTGATATGGCATCAAAGCTGGGCTGGAGGGCAGGATGAAGGTTCCACAGTATCCCCTCACAAGTGCTGCACCATGGAAGGAAGTCTGTGTACAATTAGTCATGTAAAGTCCCTATGAAGTGAATGAGACTTGACAGGTTAATTGTGCCACAACAAGTGCTCACTTCTAAGTTGGAGTCCCACTTTAATGCAGATTTCCCATGACCATGGCCTCCACCTACATGGTTGGGCATTATTAAGAGAAGAGTTTAGAGTTCCATTTTAAGCCCCGCCCACACCGACTCTGCTTCTTAGTATCAGAACACAGTGATTGTACCTTACTGCTTCTGTATCTCATTATATATGGTCAAAACCCTAGAAACACATATTAAAGAGGAGCTGGGATGGGTCTATGGAGGTTGGTCAATGCATAAAGTTACATTGTAAACAGAACACAAACCTTAGAAACATATGAAGCACCCCCTTGTGTACATACTGTGGATAGGTTAGGTAAGTTTAGTTAAGCTTCACTGCTAGTGCAGTCAGGGTTATTTGGGCTTGTTTACAGGTTAGCTGGCAAGCTGTGAGGGCTGAGCCTCTGTCACCTGCCCCTGGCTTCTGGAAGCTTCCAGAACTTAGTGGGTGGAGGGATAGAGATAGAAGCCTGAATATTTATGGGAGTGCTACCAATCCCTGTGTAGGTGGAGGTAGGTGGAGCCCAGAAGGTGGAGAGTTGGCTCATATATGCTCAGGAGCCTGGTCATGTGGGGGTAGAATCCAGGATCCAGAGGCCTGAATGGGACCCCTGTGCTGGGAGGCTCTGCCTCCAGGCAGAAGGTGAGAGAGAGACAATGTGCTGAGAGAAAGGAGGAAGGAAGTTGAGAGGAGCCCTCACGCCTTCAGTCTTCTCTTGACTGATTGAGACACCCTGGCAAGGCCTGGACAGAAATTGCCATCTATGCGGCAGGAATAAAAGGGACTAAGTCTGTTTCACCACCCAAAGCCTATAGGGGAGAGGCAGCCAGGTGCAATACCCAGCTAGCCATCCAGGAGGGACAGCTTTTGACCTTCAACCCCTGCTTGGGATACTCTTGTGCTAATGTGCCAGTGCTCGGATCAGTATTGGAAGTGCATACCAGTCTGTTAAAAGTAGTTTCGTCTGAAAACACAGTCTGGAGTTTTGTGCTAAGAAAACAGTCTAGCCACAGTTATCCTTGAAGTCCTTCTACACTTTTCACCCCCCAGAGCCTATGTAGCACTACCCCCCTTAGGAGTCACTAGAGATATGGGTCCCCCTATAGTTCTGCAAAGCCAGGCAACACACATTTCCTTCCAGACTTGCACTCCAGTGACAGCAAACAGTCCTTGAACTTGTTTTTTTTTGGATCTTATTAAGGGGTAAATAACTTGGATGGGGTGGGATGTCCAAGGAACTGTAAAACTGAGGAAAACTTCCTGGAACTACAGTATGTACAAGTAGTCAGAAAGGATTTTCTCTTCTCTCTCTTTGCAGAGCTAGTCAGCTTCTCCTTATGTACCTCCTCAGACCCCAGATGAAATCTATTTTCACCCAGCTGCCCAAGGGAATCCCTGGCCAAGAGGTCCCAGAAGCTGCCACCTTAAGTGAAAGCAGTCCCAGATGGGGGCTAGCCAGGTTTCACACCAGAATGCCCTTTCCCCTAATCTGGCCCAGGGGGTGTGGCATTACTCACTCAGTCTCTCCTGCAATCTTGTGGGTTGGTGGCTGCCTTCAGGCCTTATGCTGGGCTGGCTCCTTCTCTGCTTCCCAGGCTGTCCTTTCTCAGGGGACAGTGAGGCAGAGAGATCCTCTCTTCCAGCTCCTCTGCCTGCAAGTAGGCTCCTCTCTTTTACCCCCTCCCAGCCTCCCACACACCATCCTGCTCAGTTCATCTTCCACCCAAACTTTCCTGCTGCTGAGCAGGCTCTGTCACTCTTAAGGGCTGTCCTGACCCCATGCCAAGCTTCCTGCTTGGGGATTGGCCAGGATCCCTTGAGAGTGCAGACCAGCCACTCCTCACCCCCTCCTATTGAACTCTAGAGACTTCTCCAAGTCTCTAGATCAGGGGGAGTTCCAGAGAGCTGGTCTGCAGAGCCTCTCAGCCCTGACCAAAATTTGACCCCCCCTCTGATTATTCCAACAGGCTGCTAACTAAAAAATAATTATCTGGAGGCATGGTCTGCCACGATCCAGAATGGCCGCCTAAGCTCATAGCTCCTGCGGCCGGAGACAACTTCACTCCCTGCACAGAGGATCGGGTGAGCGTAGGGTGTGCAGTGATGGGGAAAACAGACCAGAACGCCTCCAGATCCCAGTCACGATCCCCTCGGGCCCCTAATCAGCAGCAGGCCAGACACATAAAAGAGCTCTTCCGCTCCCAGCAAAGGGACAGGCCACAGGCATCCCCTTCTCCCTCTCCCTCCCCCCTCCCTCTGCAGCTGCTACTAGCTCACAGAGTACAGCCTCGGACACAGTGCCAGACTCTGTCCCCCAGCAGGATCTCTCCTCAGCCACCCATACATTATCATTGAGAGACCTTCATGCTGTGGCTGCGGACATAAAGGTCACGTTCACCACTGCCCTACATGACCTATGGGATGACCTTCACTCCTTGGGCGCTAGATTAGAGGGTATGGAACTCTCCTCCAAACAAAATACGGATGCAATAGTTGATATACAGCAGATGACAGCGTCACACGCTTCAAATATCGGAGAATTTTACAAACACATTGAGGACCTAGATAACCGCAGATACAGACATAATATCCAACTCTACATCCTGCCAGAATCTGTGGAACCAAACGATATTCACAGAACGGTGGTGGCCATCTTTAATGACCTTCTAGGTCGTCCACCTGCGACTCCAATTGACCTGCAGCGTGCACACAGAGTGCTCCGTCCCAGGGGCAGAGATGATGACCCACCCAGAGACGTAATATGCTGCCTGGTTAGTTTCCCGCTTAAAGAGGACATCCTCAGAAGCGCCAGAGAAAGAAGATGTCTCCTGTATCGGGGGGCAGAAATACATCTATTCCAAGATTTATCCAATCTGACCCTACAACAAAGGCGGGAACTTCGCCCTTTACTGGACTCACTCTGCTCCCACAACATACCCTACAGATGGCGATTTCCCTTCTGCCTCTCTGCACAAGCAAATGGGCGCAATGTCAATCTGTGAGTTCCTGAAGATTTACCCAATTTCTGCGCCTCTCTGGATATACCACTGATCGACCTTTCTGACTGGTACAGAACCATGCGGCTTCCATCTGCCACAGACCGGAAACCAGTGCAATAGACAGGCAAGATCCACTTTCTCGTCGACGCCGCTCTGTCCCCACCACCCCTCCGAAACCTCCCGAAAGAGGTTCTACTGCCATCTCTAGCCCGACAGCCTCTCCTGCACACCGAAGGCCCCGACATGAAGCTTAGGAGTCTTGGACTCCAATTTGCTCATGGCCCTCTCATCCACATCGAATTACCAGCTTACTGCTGGCTCCAAACCTGCACACCTCACCTCTGCAGTACTTCAAGAGAACCCTTTGTTTCCTTGCTCCCACCATTGTGGGCCTAGGATCTCCCACCCTGGAA